TAAGGGACGAAGATTATGTCTGTCTGTTTATATACCAATTGCTATGCTAAACTTAGTAAATGGAAGATGTTGTAATGCAACGATTTCAAAGTGGGAGAGAGGCGGATGCATTGGTATTACTGCTATGTTGCTATTCTGGTTTCTTGCAGCTGCCTGGTGGTGTGAGCATGCCTTGTGCTGTGTTGTGTTCTGTGCTGTAGTTTGTGGACTCTTGTCAGTAATGCAACTGCCTTCAAGGTGTTTTTGAAGGATTAAAGCCGAGTGATCGTAAATTTTATTTTGCCTCCAGTTATTGTAATTTTTTTTGATTCTTGTAATCCTTGGATCCAATCAATAAATTTATATGTTTTCCAATAAAATTTTGGCAAAAAAAAAAAATTGATGCACCAAATTGGTAAACATAATATATACTTGTGAAAAATGAAGTAGAGTTAGTGGAGTTCATGTATTTTTTTACTTTATGCATCACCAATCTGTCATGCAATGGCACAAAGAGTGGACACTTCCGCATCAACAAGCAATCCATACACGGATATGTACATATGCAACATGTGTTTTCACACAACATGGTGATTCGTTGATTGATGTGTCCCAAAATTGGCTGATTCCCTTCACCAGTCAATAATGTATTCCAATATATACATCCTGCCTACCTAAGCACATTCCATTCACTAGTCAACATTGTATTCCAATATATACATACCGCCTACTTAATCACATTCTAGCTAATATACTTCTACATTTCTCCATTACTCTCCCTCGTTCTCGGGCCTTATGCATGAGTTTTTCCCTAACTTTGTTGTCAGCATGTGTAGCTAATGAAAAATGAAGTTCATCCACATTTCGTTCGAATCTTCCTGCGAACAAATGATACAAGTGGTAAACATAATGAGATTTGAGGAGGGATATAAAATTCTTATAGATTTACAATTGCGACATGCCGTATGTTACATGTTACAAATTTCACCTTAATGGGAAAGCCTGGACAAAGCGCTGGAGCTAGGATTATCTTGACCACAAACATGCCACAATCATGTCCATTCCCCTGATGTAGGTCCCAAGGCAACGCAGACAAGGTGAATGTTCCCAGAAAAGGTTGGTAGTTATCCTATGTAACTACAAGCACATCATCTAATTCAAAGAGGACATTATGCACAACATTCAGTCGAATGGAAATATCGGCACAAGGAAGCGAGTCCAACAAAATAGCATTCTGTTCAGTTACATCAATGATGCATAGATACCAATGGTTGTTGTTCTCGTTGATCGGGATGTATATCTAAAGTTGTTTATACAGACAAACATTGTTGATAAGTGTGGATCAATTTAACTAATGTTAGGTCTTGGAATTCAAACTGGATTAACAATATGGTTATTACACACCTTCTCACAATATGTAAAATATTTTTTGTTCTTCCCATTCACAGCACACATAGATTGAAGCAAACTTTTTTTACTTTCACTGTTAGCCATAGCCCGAGCCAGTGCCTATTGCTGAATAAAACAATCAAAATTATATACACCTATTGTATGTAATTTTGTTTAAAAAAAATTAGGTACTATAAAATTAACACAAGTTTCTTACTGAGAACCACATGGGTAGGTACCACCTCTCTAATCCGATTTTTGGATTTATCTTATCTACCTTAGATAATAGATTGTGAGCCAAGTCCATAACCTGTGACATTCAACAAAAAATACCAATGTAAAATGCAATAGGTGTAATTTATGGTAACAATGTATGAATACCCAAATTAACCAATCGAATCAAGTAACCACTGCTTTGATAATAATGTCATGAGGGAATGGCGTGCAGCATGGTCGTGTTCAAATCTAATTAAAACCTCTCTGATTTTAACAAAAAGTAAAAAATCAATAAATAACACAAAAGAATAAGCGTACAATTATTTTCGATTACGCGTACGTAATACATAATTAAAATGTATAAAGGGTTACATTTTAAATAACCATACCTCATGTCCAGATTCTTGTCAAATATGTAATTTAGAATCAATTGATTATCTTCAGGATAAAGTATGTCTACATGTTCATATTCCTCAACGTGCTGTTGGATACCCAAAGTGGAATCAGAAATCTGTTTACCCAACCTATGACATTAAACTACCATTCAAGTTTGTCACATACTCAACAATAGAACAAAACGGACCTTATGAATTTCAGCAACTAATGCACTATTAGAAGACAATTTTAGTTTGTTAGCAGGCTTAGCCTGCTAACAAACTAAAATTGTCTTCTAATAGTGCATTAGTTGCTGAAATTCATAAGGTCCGTTTTGTTCTATTGTTGAGTATGTGACAAACTTGAATGGTAGTTTAATGTCATAGGTTGGGTAAACAGATTTCTGATTCCACTTTGGGTATCCAACAGCACGTTGAGGAATATGAACATGTAGACATACTTTATCCTGAAGATAATCAATTGATTCTAAATTACATATTTGACAAGAATCTGGACATGAGGTATGGTTATTTAAAATGTAACCCTTTATACATTTTAATTATGTATTACGTACGCGTAATCGAAAATAATTGTACGCTTATTCTTTTGTGTTATTTATTGATTTTTTACTTTTTGTTAAAATCAGAGAGGTTTTAATTAGATTTGAACACGACCATGCTGCACGCCATTCCCTCATGACATTATTATCAAAGCAGTGGTTACTTGATTCGATTGGTTAATTTGGGTATTCATACATTGTTACCATAAATTACACCTATTGCATTTTACATTGGTATTTTTTGTTGAATGTCACAGGTTATGGACTTGGCTCACAATCTATTATCTAAGGTAGATAAGATAAATCCAAAAATCGGATTAGAGAGGTGGTACCTACCCATGTGGTTCTCAGTAAGAAACTTGTGTTAATTTTATAGTACCTAATTTTTTTTAAACAAAATTACATACAATAGGTGTATATAATTTTGATTGTTTTATTCAGCAATAGGCACTGGCTCGGGCTATGGCTAACAGTGAAAGTAAAAAAAGTTTGCTTCAATCTATGTGTGCTGTGAATGGGAAGAACAAAAAATATTTTACATATTGTGAGAAGGTGTGTAATAACCATATTGTTAATCCAGTTTGAATTCCAAGACCTAACATTAGTTAAATTGATCCACACTTATCAACAATGTTTGTCTGTATAAACAACTTTAGATATACATCCCGATCAACGAGAACAACAACCATTGGTATCTATGCATCATTGATGTAACTGAACAGAATGCTATTTTGTTGGACTCGCTTCCTTGTGCCGATATTTCCATTCGACTGAATGTTGTGCATAATGTCCTCTTTGAATTAGATGATGTGCTTGTAGTTACATAGGATAACTACCAACCTTTTCTGGGAACATTCACCTTGTCTGCGTTGCCTTGGGACCTACATCAGGGGAATGGACATGATTGTGGCATGTTTGTGGTCAAGATAATCCTAGCTCCAGCGCTTTGTCCAGGCTTTCCATTAAGGTGAAATTTGTAACATGTAACATACGGCATGTCGCAATTGTAAATCTATAAGAATTTTATATCCCTCCTCAAATCTCATTATGTTTACCACTTGTATCATTTGTTCGCAGGAAGATTCGAACGAAATGTGGATGAACTTCATTTTTTCATTAGCTACACATGCTGACAACAAAGTTAGGGAAAAACTCATGCATAAGGCCCGAGAACGAGGGAGAGTAATGGAGAAATGTAGAAGTATATTAGCTAGAATGTGATTAAGTAGGCGGTATGTATATATTGGAATACAATGTTGACTAGTGAATGGAATGTGCTTAGGTAGGCAGGATGTATATATTGGAATACATTATTGACTGGTGAAGGGAATCAGCCAATTTTGGGACACATCAATCAACGAATCACCATGTTGTGTGAAAACACATGTTGCATATGTACATATCCGTGTATGGATTGCTTGTTGATGCGGAAGTGTCCACTCTTTGTGCCATTGCATGACAGATTGGTGATGCATAAAGTAAAAAATACATGAACTCCACTAACTCTACTTCATTTTTCACAAGTATATATTATGTTTACCATTTGGTGCATCAATTTTTTTTTTTTTGCCAAAATTTTATTGGAAAACATATAAATTTTATTGATTGGATCCAAGGATTACAAGAATCAAAAAAATTACAATAACTGGAGGCAAAATAAAATTTACGATCACTCGGCTTTAATCCTTCAAAACACCTTGAAGGCAGTTGCATTACTGACAAGAGTCCCACAAACTACAGCACAGAACACAACACAGCACAAGGCATGCTCACACCACCAGGCAGCTGCAAGAAACCAGAATAGCAACATAGCAGTAATACCAATGCATCCGCCTCTCTCCCACTTTGAAATCGTTGCATTACAACATCTTCCATTTACTAAGTTTAGCATAGCAATTGGTATATAACAGACAGACATA